GTGTGCGTGTGGGTGCGTGGGTGCGTGGGTGTGTGTGTGTGTGTGTGATGTGTGCTTTGGGTGGTGCGTGCTTTTTGTGTGTTGTCGGTGTTGTGTGTGTGTATGTTATGTTTGTCTAGCGTGTGATGTGTTGGGCGTGATGTGTGTCTCTGTGTGTGCATGCAGTTCTGAAGCCCCAGGAGGCCCCAGGAGGCCCCAGGCGGCCTCAGCAGGCCCTTTCTTCCCAAGGTAGGCTCGAGGCGTCTCAAGGTGTGTGTGAAACTTCGTCCACGTGCGGGGTCTGGGGTACCAGAAGGTCCAGAAAGCCCCAGGAGGCCCCAGGAGGTTCCAGGAGGCCCCCAGGAGGCTCCGAGGAGGGGTCTGGGGCGCGATTTTGGGAGGATGTCTCAGGCGAAACCGCCATTCTCTGAGAATCGGTGTCAAAATTATTGAAATTACCATGTGTTTTTGAAGGTTTTATGTTAAAATGTTGAACTTCCCAAAACCGCGTGAGGGGCGCCACCGATTTTCAGAATTCCGAGGATGTCCCGAGCGAAACGCCCAGAAAAATCGCGGACGACGTGCGCACTAATCGCCTCTGAGCTCTACTCCCTCGGAGAGGTGCGTATGATAATACAATATATATATAATATATATATATATATAATATATATATATATTCTCCGAGGGAGTAGAGCTCAGAGGCGATTAGTGCGCACGTCGTCCGCGATTTTTCTGGGCGTTTCGCTCGGGACATCCTCGAAATTCTGAAAATCGGTGGCACCCCTCACGCAGATCGCGACGTCAGGGTCCAAAAACACATGGGAAATTCAACAGTTTAACATAAAACCTTCAAAAACACATGGTAATTTCAATAATTGTGACCCCGATTCTCAGTGAATGGCGGTTTCGCTTGAAAAATCCTTCCAAAATCGAGCCCCAGACCCCGCCTCGGAGCCTCCTGGGGGCCTCCTGGAACCTCCTGGGGCCTCCTGGGCCTTCTGAACCTTCTGGCACCCCAGACCCCGCCTCGGAGCCTCCTGGGGGTGTCCTGAAACCTCCTGGGGCCTCCTGGGGCCTCCTGCGGCCTCCTGGAGCCTCTTGGGGCCTCCTGAAGCCTCCTGGGGTCTCCTGGGGCCTCCTGAGGCCGCCTGGGGCCTCCTGGGGCCTCCTGGGGCTTCAGAACTACATGCACACAGAGACACAAATCACGCCCAACACATCACACGCTAGACAAACATAACACACACACACACACACACAACACCTACAACACACAACACACAGCACGCACGCACCACGAAGCATACATCACAAACACACACACACACACACACACGCACAACACTCACAACCTCCTGGAGCCTCTTCTGGTATCCAAGTCGGGCTTCCTAAGGCTTCCTGGGGGCCTGGTACACACATCGCAAGGTGTGGCAACCCCACTTGTGCTCGAGTGCGACTTCGATGTTGCATTTCACTCCTGCTTCAAACGCCCCTTCAGTTTTTTGTATGAGCCTGGGCACACACGTGCCACTTATATATATATATATAATATATATATATATATCATATATATATATATATGCCGGCGGAACAAGAGCGAGGCCGCATGGAGTGTGCCTGCGCCCTCCATGGGGGCTCTGGGGCTCACTTTCCGTGTGCTTCTACAGGGTTTCGGCGTTCCAGGGCCTCCGAGGGAGACCGCCGGGAGTGGACCTGCGCCCCCCATGGGGGCTCCGGGGCTCACTTTCCATATGTTTTTTTTATAGGGTTTCCGCGTCCTGGGCCTCGGAGGCCGCCGCCTCCGACCCCCCATGGGAGGACGGGGCGGCCGGGGAGATCCAAAATAGTCCGAGGGCCTCCAGAGGCTCCCAAGCCGGCCCAAGCGGGCCCCGAGTCGCCGAAAGACCGCTCCAGGACGCCCAAGATAGGCCCAAGACGGGCCGAGAGGCCCCCCAAGGCACTCCACGACGCTTCAAGACGCCCCTCCAGAGCGCTTCCAGAGGCCGAAATCGTCAATTGTACGAAGGTTTTCGAACGATTTTGGCCTTCCAGCCTCTTCGGCTGTCCGACGTTCCAAGACGGCTCAAGAGGCCCCCAAGAGCGCCCCAAGACGGCCCAAGAGAGCCCCAAGACGGCCCCAGAGTCGCCCAAGACAGCCCAACAGAGCCCCAAGACGGCCCCAAGATGCGCTCAAGAGGGGGACCACGACTCCAAAATTCGACCCTCCCGCTTGAAGAGTGCCCCAGGTAGCCCCAAGGAGCCCCCAAGAGGCCCCAGGAGGCCCCCAAGAGGCACCCAGGATGCCCAAACGAGGCCTAAAGAGGCCACAAAACAGCCCCGAGGAGGCCGCACAACGGTCCCAAAGCGGCTACCGAGAAGCTGCGAAATTGCCTTCACGACGTCCCCGACAGGCCAACCACGAGATCCAAACCAACACCCATGAGGCCTCTGACCCACCACCCAGGGCACGGTGGCGGGAGCAGTGACAGCACTTGTGCACAGCATGTTCCGGCGGGAGCCTTCCGGAACACGCTGCAGGAGGAGGAGGAAGATCAGGAGGAGAGAGAGCTGGAGTGGGAGGAGGAGGAGGAGGAGGAGGAGGAGGAGGAGGGGGACGAGGAGGAGGAAGAGGCCTCCAAGACAGCTCCAAGATAGCCGAAGAGGCTTCCAAGAGGGCCCTGGGCGGCCCACGAGGGCCCCAAGGGGGCCCTGGGCGGCCCACGAGGGCCCCAAGGCGGTGCCTGAGGCGCCCAAGACTGCCCGAGAGGCCCCAAGACGGCCCCAAGAGAGGCCCAAGAAGGGAAACACGAACCGAGAATCCGAGTTTTCTACCCCGAGAGGTTCTCGGGGAGTCCCAAGAGGCCCCCAATCGGATCCAAGAGGCCCCCAAGAAGCTCCCAAGAGGGCCGACGAGGTTCCAAGAGATCTCCCAAGGTGGCCCCAAAAGGCACAACTCATTGTTTCACGATTGGGCTTTGACGGGTTCTATTGTTTCTGCCTTTTGGCATCCCCATGCTCCAAAACGGCCCAAGAGGCTTCCAATACCGCTCCAATATAGAGGAAAAGGCCTCCAAGAGGGCCCCAAGACGGCCCGCGAGGGCCCCAAGACGGTACTTGAGGCGCCCAAGACGGCCCGAGAGGGCCCCAAGAGCCCCAAGAGAGGCCAGAAGGGGAACGCGACCCAACAGCAGAGCGTTCCCCCCAAAAGGCCCACAGGAGGCCGCAAGAGGCCCCCAAGTGGTCCGACGAGGACCCCAAGCTTCCCGAGGGCCCAAAAGGCCCCTAGGAGACGTCCAAGAGGTTGTAAGTGATGCACGAGAATGATTGCCAATGTCTGTCGCCTTCTCGCTCAAGGCACTTCTTTCGGGATTTCATTCTCCGAACGGCCACAGCCCTCTTCACGGCGGGAGCTCATCAGGTCGCGGCTGTCGGTGGCCAGGCGCTGGGCACCTGGATCCAAGCAGCAGCAGCGGGTGCGACTGCAGCTGGTTCCTCGACGCCGCGCCCGGCGAGGCGTTCAGCGGGCTGTTGAAGGGGCAGCCTGGCAGGCACGGACAGGAGCACCTGCACGGGCATCCGTCTACACGCCAGCCTGCCCCGAGCCCGGGCACACCCGGCCTGGGGGGGCCCTCTCGCTCGTGCTCGGCCTGGTCGGGGCGCAGTGCTTCGCAAGGTCCTCGTCTGGACAGGACGACGACGTGCCCGCGGAGAGACCCAGTCGGTGGTCCATGGCAGCATCGCGGACGGCGAAGGCCCTGGAGAACCTGCGGGTGGGCGTACGGGTCCTCGGCCACTACGATCAAGAGGACAACTACTGGCATGAATGCAGTTTGATCAGCAGAATCACTGCGGGCAAATGGGTGGTGGTCACTCCACACAGTGACATCTACGAGGAAGACTTTGCAAACGCCCTGGACCTCTGTCAGGTCGGCCCCCTTGGAGGCTTGTCCACGAAGCACTCGGGCCACATCCTAAGCACAGACATCGTCCGCTTCAAGAGACACCAAGGGAGGCTGCTCAGCGAGGGCAAGCAGCTCGCTAGCGAGATCTGCCAACAGGAGGGCTTCCCCGAGGAGCCACAAGGGGCGCCCGCGCCTCCGCCTGCACTCGATGGTGGTCTGGAGGATCGCGCTGACGCAGGTGATGTTCCTCGCTGGGTTGTCTTGGAGGCTTGCGCTGGCTACCGACCAAGTGACGGGCTTCCAGCAGGCACCGTGCCCGGCGCCATTGCCGGGATGGGGGCATCTGCGAGCCTGCCGACGGGTTCAAGCTGGCAGTCGCGGAGGCCGATACCTACGAGGGCACTCCCACCGCCTGGCAGGACCGTCAAGCTGCAGAGCAGACTCTTCGAACCCTCCTCGTCAAGTACGGTGGCGGCGGCAACAGGGTCAGAGTCTTCGCTGAGTCAGGGGACACCACGACCTCCAACTCGCAGCTGGACTCCCCTGGCTGCGGGCCGCGGACTACCTTGTGGGTGGTGCAGCAGTATGCTAACAGACTTCGCGAACACGAGGCGGGCGTACTTCGCAGTGCTGGGGGGTCGGCTTTGCTCGACGAGCGCAAGATCCTCTTGGGGCAAGAGCGCGGGCGTGAAGGAGTTGTGGGTCGTACTGCACTGCATAGCGGGGTGGCAGCCCGCCTTCAGGTGGGAGCAGCAGTACTCAAAGGGCGCCGCAAAGGACGTGAAGAAAAGAGTCTTGCTCGAGGTAGCGTGGACGAGAACAGCACAGACAGGCCGAAGTCAAAAGCAAAGGCCTTGGCTGGTGCTGACGGGGCTGCCTAGCCCCATCCCTACATCGAAGTGGCTTGGTCGCCCGCCTGCCCCCGAGCGGTCAACTATTCTCAAGGGGAGGTGCTGGTCATACGGCATTATGTTTTGTGACGACGGCGGTGGAGGGCGTCATCGAGACCTACTTCCTATCCCAATTGGTCTGGAGCTGATGTCGATGCTGAGCGGTGGGGCTGCATGGGGCACTTCACTCACAGCGCGGAGGAGAGCTGCGACCAGGAGGCGGCAGGATCAGCGGCTTCTCAACGGCATCGCCTCCCTCAACGAGCTGGGCGGGCAGGGGCGCCATGTGCCCGTCTCCGCCCCGCTGACGGCGGCCCGGCGTGCTGCCGCGAGGCGGCTGGCCACGACCTACGGCAAGTGGTCGCCGCCCGTTGATCGCCCAAGTCCCCATGAAGCGTGGACGACGCTACAGGGTCTCAGGCCTGGCTACTCTGAAGTCGAGGCCTCCGGTTCTCGAACCGTCTACCAGCGGGGAAACATCTCTCTCCCCAAGATCGGTGCGGGTAAGGTGGCTCTTACGGAGGTCCTCCCGACTGACCTGCAGACCAAGCTGGAGACTGGGCGCGGGTTGTTGCGATCCCCAGAGGAGGCAGCAGCGCTAATTCGTGATGCAGGTGCTCCTCGTGCCATTGACCCGAAGCTTGGGCGGCTCGGCTACGACTACGGCCACGCTCTGGGGGAGCTCTACACCTCCGGGGTGATCGAGGCCAGCTCGGAGCCGGTTTTGGAGGAAGCTGGCATGTTTTTTGCGGCTCGCAAGGACAAGCGGTTGCGTCTCATCTGCGACACCAGGACTCCTAACATGCACTTTACCACTCCAGAGCACACGGCACTCGCGGCTTTGTCCTCGCTGGAGGCGTCGGGAGTCAATATGATCGGCATGAGTTCTGGAGACGTCGACTGCTGTTTCTATCAATATGCATTGCCGCCCTGGTGTAGGCGCCACTTCAACCTCCCGCTGATCGAGAGTCGCTTCCTGCCGCCGGAGGTTCGGAGCGCCTGCGGATTGACGTTGAAGAGCGGCCAGGTACGCTTTCGATTCAAGGTGGTGCCCATGGGCTGGAGCTGGGCGGTGCACTTTATTCAAGAAGCACACCTTCACCTCGTCAAGTCAGTCTTGCCATCTCAGCCATGGTGCTTGGACAAGTGCCCCGGCATTGACTTGAACCTTGAGGATGCCAAGGTCCTGTACATAGACAACTTTGCCGCGCTGTCCCAGTCGCCCTCCCGCGCCGCCACCGCCGTCGCCGACATGCAGGCGGCGCTCGCGGCCAAGGGCGTGGTCTCCGAGCTAGACACTGCCCCGGCCGAGCGCGGCGAGCTGCTGGGATGCGAGCTCGACCTGCAGACGGGCTGCTGGTGCGTGCTGGGTCGCCGGCTCTGGCGGGTCTACGGCGCCCTGGAGCATGTTCTCACGGGGCGGGCCAAGGTCTCTGGCCAAGAGCTCGAGCGTTTGATCGGCCACCTGGTCTCCATCCTGATGCTGCGCCGGGAGGGGCTGGCCATGCTGCACTCCTCATACGAGTTCGTGCAGGCGTCCTACTCCAAGAAGCAGCCGCTCTGGAAAAGCGTGGTCCGTGAAATGGGCTGGGTCAAGGCACTACTGCCGACACCCGACGCCCGTGGAGCGAGGTGGTCACTTGCTTCGACGCGTCTCCTTGGGGCTACGGGATCGTGGAGACCGAGTGGGACCTGAAGGATGTGCAGCGCGTCGGCAGGGTCTCCGAGCGGGCACGGTTCCGCGGCGTGCTCGCTGCCGAGGGGCCCCCCCGCGAGAGGACGCTGGAGCAGGAAATAGCGCGGGCACCAGGGCCCGCCCTCTTGCTGGCCGGGCGCGCGGCAGGCTTCCCGGAGGTCAACTACGGCAAAATGCATGCCCGGCCCTGGCGCGTAGCAGGCTGCGGCCGCTGGAAGCGCAAGGAGGCCATGCACGGGCTCGAGGGGGCCGCTCTGACATGGGCCGTCCGCCGGGCGGCCAGGGACTCACGGGAGCACTGTTCGCGCCGACTCTTTCTTGGCGATAACATGTCTCTCGCCCTCGCTGCCGCCAGAGGCCGCGCGGCCAATCATCGTCTCCTGGGAGTCTGTCGCGTCCTCTTCGCTGTGGGGGTCGCCGCAGACCTGAAGGTTCAGGTGAGGTGGCCCCCCTCAGAGTGGAACCCGAGCGACGGTCCGTCTCGCCGCTTCCAGCCTCGGGGCCCGGGAGCGCGCGTGGAGGCGGCGATGCTCCAGGCGGTGCCGCCCACGCCGATGGCCTTGGCGAGCGGCCGCTCCGGCCCTCGCGCGCCGAGCGAGCGCAGGAGCCACTCGCCTTGCCATCCGGGCAACCGATGCCGGGGCAAGCTAAGCCGAGGCAGGCCGTGGTGCCGGTGCTGGGCGAGCCCGAGAGCAGGCCAGACTTGGCTGGGCGGCACGCAAAGCTTGGCCTCAGTCACTCGGAGAGCGACTTCATCCAGAAGAGGCGCCAGTTGCGCCCGCGCCAGACCCGGCTTGCTTCGGCCAAGTGCAGGCCTCGCACGCAGGGGCCCTACCTCGGGATGATCCTTGGCTTGGTACGCTGGCTGAATATGGCCTTCCTCCTGGACTGGCCGCGCCTCACGTGGGACGTGACGCTGGGAGAGTACGCCGAGTCGATCTACGACCGCGGGGTCCCCTAAGGCGTCATCTCAGCGGCTGGCCCCGGCGCTGCGCTGGGCGTTGCCCGCCCTCCGCCGGGGCGGGATCCGCGAGGTCTTCCCCCTGACGCACCAGACGCTGAAGGGCTGGAACGTCCTGGACCCGTCCAAATCCAGACCGCCCGCCCCGTTCTTGGTGGCGCTGGCGGTGGCCTGCGGGCGGTGCCGGGCGGGGAAGCCACTCAGTGGCATGGCCGTTCTCACCAGGTTCGAGACCTACATGCGCCCGTCAAGAGTGCTGGATTTGCGAGCAAGGCAGGTAGTCCTGCCGCTGCCAAGGGAAGGAGGTGCACCGATCTGCTTGACGGTCGCGGTGTGGGCCTCAGTGTACGAGATACCAACCAAGACCCGCGAGTGCGACCTTTCAGTTCGGCTCGACCTGCCCATGCAACAGTTGATGGTGAACCCGATCTTCCTTGTGCGAGCCCTTCGGGAACCCGCCCACGCCTTCCTGGTCTTGGGCTACAGCCAACTGGCGAAGGACTTCCAGAACACGACCCCTGCTCTGAGCGTGAGCTTACTCAAGGCCACCCCTTGCTCCCTCCAGCATGGAGGGGCCAGCCACGACCAGAGCACGGGCGACAGAGACTCAGGCACCGTGCAGCAGCGAGGAGGGTGGAAGGCGTTCAAGTCCGTGCTGCGCTACGAGAAGCACGGACGCCTGCTGCTGGAACTACGCAAGCCCAGCGACCTGCAGCGCGAAACCCTCCGAGCAGCAAGCAGGGACGTCGTGGGCGTCTTCAACAGGTCCTTGGGCTGCATTTCGAAGCGCCCCCCATCAATCAAGGGTGCGCATCGAAGTCTTCTCAGGATGTGGAGCTCTGAGCAAACATCTGAGGCAGAGAGGCGAAGCTGTGGTAGAATGGGACATCCAACATGGAAGCCATTTTGATTTGACTCGCCCGGGGGTCTGGAGGATCCTCCGGGGATGGCTGACGTCTGGTCTGGTCAAACTCGTTCTCCTGGGGACGCCCTGCAACGGCTACTCGAGGGCCCGTCGGGCCCCCCTGTCCAGCAGCATGCCCTCGGCTCTCCGGAGCCCCGCGTCTCCTCTTGGGACCCCGGGCCTCACGGGTAAAGACCTCGAGAGCCTCCGCGTCTCTAACAAGGTAGGGTGGGTCTCACAGCGTATTCAGCGTCTCTGCTATAGGTTGAATATCCCTGGCGGCGAGGAGAACCCTTGGCAAAGTTTAGCACAGCAGTCCACCGAAAGATGGAAACGAATGCGGGGTTAGCCCCAGCACAATGCTTGAGTGATGGATTTTATTTCAAGTTGAATTATGGCAGATCTGTGTCGCACTAGCCAGCCTAGCTTGCCCGTGCTTCGTTCGAATCCTCAAGCAGTCTGAGCCACTGGCAAAATAAAGCGATCATGTAAGTGATGCACGAGAATGATTGCTAATGTCTGTCGCCTTCTCGCTCAGGGCACTTCTTTCGGCCCACGCCAGCCCAATGCCTCCTTTTAATGGTACCTTGAGCAGATCTGTGTCGCACTAGCCAGCCTAGCTTGCCCGTGCTTCGCTCGAATCCTCAAGCAGTCTGAGCCACTGGCAAAATAAAGCGATGATTTGTCTCTGACTCGTTTTCCTAAGTGCGAGTGGCCTCGGGAGTTTCTGAGCAGTGGAGCCGCGTCCGTCTCGTTCGCTGCTCCTGCTGCTGCTCTCTCCCTCTGCTCCGAAACCGCTCCTGCTCAAGCTCTATCATTCGAGGGGCCCCCGGCAGTGCATGGTGGTGCCGTGGGCCGCAGCCGGCCCGTGGGCGGCCTCCATCGCGACTGCGTGGCTCTCGCGCTGCCCCGCCTGCCCAGAGGCCCGCGTGACGTGCGGGGCCTGCCCCGCGTGCCCTCCGGCGGCGGCCGCCGCCCCCTGCCCGGGCTGCCCGAGCTGCCCGGACTGCAGTCTGACCTGCGGGTCCGGGCCAGGCTGGTGGGCGGTCCTTGCCGCCTTGGGCGCCGGGTTCGCGGCTGGTGGCAGCCTCCGCGCGACGCTGGGCTGGGCCGCCCGAGTCGCCTCGCTCTTCGTCGGCGGGACCGACCCGCCGCGGCGCGAGGGTGCGGCGCCTGTGACCCTGCTCGTCGAGGACGACGGAGCTGGCCAGGACGGCGGTGCGCATCGCCGCTTTCGGGCGGTGCGGGCGTAGCCTGATCGTCCGCCGTTCGCCAGATGGCGGCGGCGGCGATGCGGACGCTCGACGTGCCCGAGGCGCAGGTGTGCGTGAACTACGACGACGACGACAACGTCCGGTGGCACCACAGGGTGCTCCTCGAGCAGCTCAGCCCTGGCGTCTGGGTGGCGGCGACTCCCGACGGCGAGGTGCTGACGCTGGACCTCAGCAAGCACCTGGTCGTCCCCTTGCGTCGGGGGTCCGCGTTCCCGGTGCGGGTTCGTGGGCAGGTCTACGCGTTCGGCGACCAGTCGGACGAGGACATCGAGGCGCTGCGGGTGGAGGCGCGGGGCCTCGCCCTGGTCATGGGCGTCTCGGCCCCAGCTGGGACTGCTGGGGGCGTCGTGCCGCGCTGGATCGTCTCGGACCCAGGCTCGCCCGAGTTCGGGCGCGAGCTGGACCTCCACCTCATCGGGAACCCGGAGCGGCTGATCAGCCGCGACGCGGGGGGCATCGCGATGCTCAGCGAGGAGGAGGGCTGGGTCTCGGTCGAGAACGTGCAGCAGGCCGACGAGGAGGACTGGCGCGCCGAGAAGCGCCGAGGCCCGGGACGCGACCCGCGGATCCTCCCGCTGGCGCGCCGGGGTCGGGGGGTCCAGGTGACGCTCGGGGAGGCGATCGCGAAGATGAACGCGGTCGACTTCGACGACTGGCCCTTTCGGGGGCCGAAGGCCCTGCCCGAGCTGCTGGCCGCCATCCTGGCCACCGGGCTGACCCTCACGTCCTACTGGGGGTACTGGGTCTCGGAGTCGGGGGTGTCCGGAACGCCGCGGTGGCCCAGGAGGTGCGGCACGCGCTGAACCAGCTGCACCACGCCGTGACGTACGACCTCGTGGACCCGTCGAACTTGGCGTCTCTGGAGCTCCTGGGGCGCCGAGTGCTGCAGATCCAGCGTGCTGTGAAGAGGTGCCCGCGCCACCCGAGTTTCGAGGGCCTCGGCCTGATGTTGAGCAGCTCTCTGGACGAGAGCGGAGGCGTCGTGACGTCGAGGTTCGACGCGTTCGTGGCCGAGGAGCAGAAGTCGCAGGGCATCATTCTGAAGCAGGAGCGGATGTACCGGGAGGAGCAGGAGTCGGAGGCGAAGAAGTACGAGAGGCAGGGCGACGACAGGGAGAGGGGCCCCAGGGCGGATCCGAAGGGCAAGGTGAAGCCGAAGCCCAAGGCCGCCGCGAAGGATCAGGGTTGACGGCGCCATGTCGGCGCCATCATGGCTGGGCGCTCCGCCCGGCCTCACTGGGCCTGGCCCTGACTCCGCAGCCGCGAATGCGAGTCGGGCCGGGCTGCTCTCCGAGGGGGTCTCCTCCGAGAGTCGGACTTCGTCCACAGTTTTGTTTCCTCTGCCGCAGGGTGACGAGTTCTATCGCCACCCTCATCGTGGAGAACGTGCCGCTCTGCCTCGGTATCTGGCCCAGCGTGCTGCTCGTGCTGACGACCGTGATCGCAGGTCTCTCGAGACTCTGGGCGCGCTCAACGCGCTGGCAGGCGCACGGGCTGGGGGGCGTCTCGAGCCTCGAGCGCCCGGCAAGCATCGGCCGACTACCGCCCAGGAGTCGGTCATCAAGCGAGTCCGACGTCGTATCCGCGGGTTCGGCGACCGACCGAAAGACATGGACTGTGCTGGAGCCCTGCAGGAGCTCCTCAAGTGCAAGGATCTGTACTCGAACATGGGCGAGGCTTCTACTCGCCGCGACTATGATGCTGACAAGCTCAATGTGTTACGACGTGCGCCACATGACCGGCCTCGTCAGCTTCGAGACGTTGCCCCTCGGCACGTCACCGAGGCGCTGGACCACTTCGACTCGGACGTCGTTCGCCCCGCGCCGAACATCCCCGAGGACGAGGTCATCGTGGAGCCGTACTGGGACCCTCTCCTCAATCCGCGCGACCCTCAGAACCGGCCACGTCTGGTCGACTTCCTTCGACGACTCGCTGCACGGGGCCTGGTGGATGGCCGGGCGCGTCGGAAGGCGTGCGTCAGTACCTTCTTCGTCGCCAAGAAGAACGGCGACATTCGCATGGTCGTGGACGCTCGCCAGCCCAACCAGCTGCACAAGCTTCCCCCTCGGACTGTGCTTGCATCCGGTGAGGCGCTGGGCTCGATCAACTTGCTCGATGCCGTCGGCGCGAGCCCCGAGGACTTGGCGGATTTCGACGGCTGCTACGAGTCGCTCTGCGCAGGCTCCGTGGACCTCATGGACGGGTTCTACCAGTTCGCCGACCCTTCGTGGGGCAGCTGGATGTGCTTCGACGTGGAGGTCACCGCTGACGAGCTCGGGCTCGACTCGATCTACGACGAGAAGCTCGGGCGCCGCGTGGCCGTATCAGGCGACGACGTCATCTGGCCCTGCTTCGCGGCGCTGCCCATGGGCTGCAGCTGGGCGCTCTGGATCTGCCACGAGGTTCTCGTCGACGCGATGGTCGAGGCGGGCCTCCCAGGCGACGGCTGGTGCCTTGACAAAGCCCGGGCGCCGACTCTCGTCGGACAGGCTGTCGTCAGGGCGCCGTACGTCGACAATGGGAATCTTGTGTCGCTCAGCGCGCCAGCGCTCAACGACCGGCTGGACAAGCTCACTGCTGAACTGGACCGTCGTGGGCTTCGCTGGCACGAGCTCGAGCGCGCGCAGCCCGGCCTTGTCATCTTGGGGCTGGTGCTCGACGGGCGCGAGGGCCGACTTAGGCATACCGCCAAGCGCGCCTGGAGGCTCTACCTGGCTCTGCACCACGTGCTTCGGACGCCATGGCTCGCCCGCTGGCAGCTGCGACGGATCGTCGGCCATCTGGTGCACTACTTCTCCGTCGCGCGCCCCGGGCTCCGCGTGCTGGGGGCCTGCTACACTTTCATCGGAGACGGCGACCTGTCCCCTGTCGTGCGCTTGCCTGGAGATGTTCTCGGTGAGCTCGCAGTTGCTGCAGGGCTCGTCTTCCTCGGCGAAGTGGACCTGTGCCGCGTGCCGTCCGACATCGCCTTCACGACCGACAGCTCGCTGCGAGGCTACGCCGTCTGCGAAGCCCGGCTGGAGCCCTGGGAGGCGCTGGCGGCCACCAGATGGCGGGAGCGCCAGCGGTTCGTTGCCGCCGAGCCCGAGGTTGCGCCCGACGACGAGCAGCACGAAGGGCGGGCCGCCGGCTTCTGCGACATCTCCGAGCCACTGCCCGTCGAGCCGCCGCCCCGGCCGCGGCACGCCGTGGCCAAGAGGCGCCGGGTCGAGTTGGAGATCGGCGTCCCGCCCGAGCCGTTGGCGGACGCTCTGCTGGATGCTGGCCGCTGGGTGGAGCGCCGCCGTGGCGCGCGGCGCCGGCCAGGGCGTATCCACGCCCTCGAGGCGCGCGCCGCCGTCGCACCGCTATGGAGAGCGGCAGGCGACGTCAACTTCCACGGGAAGGAGATCCTCAGCCTGTGCGACAACATGTCGTCGGTCCTCGCCTTTGAGAAGGGCCGGGCCACCAATTTTGAGCTCCTGGCACAGTGTCGCCGGGCTGCGGCCGTCTGCTTCGGGTGCGAGATCCGCTGGCGCCCGAGGCACGTGCCTGGCATCTACAACGTCGCGGACCACGGGAGCCGGGCGGCTGACCGGGGTGAGCTC